ATGCTTGTAGCGAGGCGGTGTGGCTCCCCGCCACCCTGGAGGGGGAAGAGCCCATTCGGAGGCCGGAGTGGACAGAGCTAAGGAGCTCAGAGCCCGCCCCTCAGAGGGTCAGGCGACGACCCGGAAGTATAAAGGCTTGCCCTCAGAGCTCAGTAGGGCCCCAGCCGCTGGAGAGACCAGATGTCTCCAGCCTAGCTCGTGGCTGGGAAAACCCTGCAGCCCAAGGCGGCTGCCAGGCCTGCCCTGCGCCCGATATCTGGAGGAGCTGCTGGGCCTGCCCTGCGCCCGCTATCCAGAGGAGTTGCCAGACCTGCCGATCAATTCCTGCCCTGACGAACCCATGATCCTGGATCCCCCAGAAACTGACACCAGGACCCAGGTAGGCCCCGAGGGGGAGTGTGGAAGTAGCCCGGGGGCAGCTGACCCCAGTCTAGCTGCAGCACTGCCAGAGCCTATGTCTGTGTGTTGCGGCCAGGATCCCCACTGACAGCAGCGGGTCTTCTGCCGCTGCTAGGGCCCCTGGGCTGGGATGCAGTGAAGTGGTGGGGCCTGCGTCCCCCCTGCCACCCAACTCGTGGGTGGCAGACTCCCCCTCTCCCTTGCCTGAGGAGGCTGGGACCTGTTGTTGCCCCGCCCTGATCTAGGGCCTGGACTTAATCCTTTTGTACTTGTTGCTCAGCCCTGAGCCCCTGACTCAGCGTTTGTTGCCCCGCCCTGACCTAGGGCCTGGGCTTAATCCTGTTGCTTCCAATTACAGCAAGGGCTGTCTAGGGAGACCCCCCCAAGCTCAACGGGGTGTAGTGAGCCGGTGTGGCTCCCTGCCACCCCGGAGAGGTTGAGTCCCGGCAAGCCCTTGTACAATGCTAAATGTGGAAATGAGGCTATATTTTATAGACTTATAATGTGAGTGTAAGAGTAGGGGTCAGAGCTGGGCTGGGTCCACACATCAGGGACAGTAGTCAGTGAGCAGGGGTCATAGAAATCGCTAGAGCTGGGTTCAATAAGCAAGACTCGGGGTCAAAGTCAGGTCAGGGTCGCAGACCAGAGATCAGAGGTAGTACCAGACTGGAATCGGGAGGCAAGATCAGATTCGGACTGGGATCAGAGAAGAAAGGTCAGGAGCCAAGATGAGGTCTGGAGTTACAGCAGGCCTGAAGACTGTGTTGTTGCACAGAGAACTTCCTGCAGCACCCTCCAGGCTTAAATAGTGTGGATGGCCAATCAGGGGGCCACAGGGTACTGTCACTCCAGATCCCTTCAGTGGTACTTCCTGTGGTGCCTAATCTCCACAGTGCTCCCTGGCTGTGGCTCTGTATGACTTCCTGGTGGCATTGTGAGAATGTCAGCTGTTCCAGGCTCTGCAGACCCAGATTCTCATCTCTGCATCCTTACATTACCGCCCTCTTCAGGGGTGCCCTCCCTCTGGGTGGGCACTGGACCTGGTTTATGCGGGTCGTCTTGATGAAACCTTTTTACTGGAACATGGACATGGGCAGTAGCTTCCCAGGAGTGTTCTTCAGGACTGTACTACCTCCCAGCCAATTAGGTAGTACAGTCTCCCGCTCTGCAGTTTAGAGTCCAGTATAGCGTGGATTATATATTCCTCATGCCCTTAGACTTGGATTGTCAGGGGAGGCTGTTGGGACTGATCAGGAAAGGGATCTCTCTAGAAAGTTTCAGGAGGGATACATGGGGAGGGGGGGGGAACGATACATAGGATTCTTAAGGGGATTGTGCACAGCCCTGTACAGAGGGCAGTGGCTCAACTCGAGCCTGGAGCACAGAATTCTCTTCCTGGAACTGTGCTAACTGCTCAAGGAGTATCTGACTTTCCTCTAAGAGCTGTGCCATCTGGAACTGCAGCCGATGGTTCTTGGTTTGGAGTTGCATGACCTGCTCCTGCAGGTCTGGGGTCCAATGGGTGATGGTAGACCCATCCCTTCCATATCCTTGTTAATGGGCTCCTGCAGAGGAGGTTGGAAGTGGGTCTAGGCAAACTGTAAGAGACTAGGGCATAGGCGGTCTGGTCACAGCTGGGCTGGGTCCACACATCAGGGACAGTAGTCGGTGAGCAGGGGTCAGAGGAATCACCAGAGCTGGGTTCGTTAAGCAAGAGTCAGGGTAAAAGTCAGTCTGGGATTGGAGACCTGCATAGTACCAGACTGGAATCGGGAGGCAGGATCAGGGTCAGAGTCGGGCTGGAGTCAGAGACCGGAGATAGTACCAGGGTAGAGTCATGAGGCAAGAGTCAGGGTCAGGCTGGGATTGGAGACCAGAGATGAGGTGAGGTCTGGAGTTGCGGCAGGCCTGAAGTCTCTGTGATTGCCCAGACAACTTCCTGGGGCACCCTCCAGGGTTAAATAGGGTGGCTGGCCAATCAGAGGGCTGCAGGGTACTGTCACTCTGGGTTCCTTGGGAGGTACTTCCTGTGGTGTCTATTCTCCACAGTGCTCCCTGGCTGTTGCTGTGCATGGCCTGCAGGTGGCACTATGGGTATCACCTGTCCTAGCTCTGCAGATCTGGATTCTAGTTCCCACATCCTTACAGTGAGTACTGTAGTAGGTTTTCCTCCTCTTAGGCAGGATTTTCAGAGTAACTATAAACCTACCTGAGTCTAGTTCTCTGGTGAAATGTTTAGATCATTGCCTTTACAATAACTTCTCTGATGGAACAGAAGTATTTTTTACCTTCATACCTTATTTGTGTCAAAAGACTTTGTAAAGAAGAGTACTATGGAAGCATAAATCAGGAATATAAAAGATTACAGATGCCCATTTCATTGCAAGTTAAACAAGAAAACTGCTTAATAAATAAGTTTGATTTATCTAGCAATTATCTGTAACAAGTTTATGTCTCCATTTAAGTCTTACTGTATACTATTACATCTTCTCTAGCTACAGAGATGGTACTTAACCTTTGTTTCATGTACTCTACCATTTTGACCCTGAATATGAAGAAAGATCTATTATGACAAATAAAGGCATATGGGAGCTCCTCTGAAAATCAAGATTGTGCAAGCAACAGGGGAAATATTCACTATATGCTCAAGAGCATGATGTAAGGCTCTGTAGGACTAGAACCCAGGTCTGTTGAGCCTGGAATAGTTGAAATTCCCACATCACCACTGGGAGGCTATACAAAGCTCAATCCAAGGAACACTCTGGAGATTAGGCACCACAGGACGTACCACCTAATGATCCATACTGACAACCCCATGGCCCTGTGTTTGGTCTATGAGCATTATTTAACCCTGGAGGTTGCTTCAGAAAGTTGTCTTGAACAACCACACAGGCTTCTGGACTGCTGTGAATCCAGACTACACTTCACTTTCTGATCTCTTGTTTCCAACCCCAGGCTGACTCTGACCCTGACTCTTGTTTATCAGTCCCAGTTCTAGTCATTATTCCAATCCCTGCTCGCTAGCTATCGCTTTGTGGCCATCCTTGACTGGTGAACACAAGCCGAGACTGCCTACACCCTGGTCCCTTACACATGAGATTTTATAGCCTTTATTTTAGATTTGCTTTTTAAATACATATTTTATTGGTCAAAAAATTATCGAACCACTTTTAAAATCAAGCCACAATATGGTGATGCAGCAAAGCAGCAGTGTTGCTTTTTCATAAGTGAATAAATATAAAATCCATCAATCAAATGGAATTATATCACTCACCTCTATGCCTGGAACGGCCCAAGAGATTGGACATAACATTTTAATGTATAGAGAAGAAAGATGAGGTCCTTTTTAGAGACACTTTACACTTATTATTTACTGAGTTAGTTTGATATTTTCATTTCCTCTGAGCCCTGGGCAGTGGTGACTCATCATAGCTAAGGCACCTGATTTTGAAGTTGGAGAAAGACAAAAAATAGCTCCAATAAAAACTTTTAAAACTTTTCTAAAACACTTTTATGGAACATGTGGCATAAGCAAAATACATGGTAGTGAGATGAGGTAGAAAGGTTTTATCAGCAGTCATGGATGACCTATATAATTCCCTTGTGGCTTCACACTATCCCAAACTCATGTTGATAAAAACTTTACACTACACTATCACAGGTTCTTGGTCATAAAGTGATTGCCTTATAAAAGTTAAAACTATACAGAATCTTTCTAAGGGTAGGGAAATGCTTTGCTACCTCATGCACAAGGGCATGGTAACTGCTGATGTTTTAGTGGGAACCTCTCTGTGTGTATACATATATATTCACACACAAGCACAAGGTATACAGTGTTGCCACTTTAAAAATGTGGGAACCCACAAATTCTTGCACACACCATGCAGCTGACATTTTAGACTTGTTCAGCTGAGTGACTAGGCCTATCAGCCTTGCCCTAATTTTAAAATGTTTGAACAAAGGTAAGGTTTAAAGAAACTATTTTAAAAGAAAATGAAACTTCACAGCTTCAAATGCAACTGGAGGGCGTGGGAGAAGGGGAAATTGTCTCAGAAGAAAAAATCCAAAACAGCAGGGAAATGTAAAGTGTCCTTAGAGTTGGTCCTAGTGGTTTGCCACTCTCTTTGTGTTGCAGCACTTAAACATATGTGTGTACAGCTGTGTCAATACACAAACATACCCACTATATGGCCTTTTTAGTCACTTCATCTGAGCAGCACAGAAGGCTGCATAATTAATGTATTTCAAAGCTATCATTCAGTCATAGCACGAGTACTAATTTTTCATCGTTCTTTGCAATTAGTGTTCCAAAAAATCTGATGTGACCTTTAAGGCAACCATCATAAGTACTTCACTCCTAGACAGCTTTTATTTTCCTTGAAAAATGAAGTCTACATGGGACCTTTTTCACACTGGAAATGCATATTATACATTATAATGAAATAATAATGTCAAAAATACCAGTCAAAAGATCAATTTTCTGGAAAGATGTTTAAGAATACCATTTTCAATTAAAGCATAAATGCTCACAGCAGCCTGAAATTAAATTCTGATTGAGGCAAGTTATGAATTAAGGAACATAAACTCTCAAAGTGACATACCTGCCCCATGCTGCTGCCATTGTAGATTCTTTCTTAACCGGAACACATGAGGACTCAACAACACTTGACTTGTTCAGTTTGTAGCAGAGACCACAATCTGGATCTAGCATGCATCCATTACAATAACTGAAAAAGAGAAACAAACAGACACGCTAAACAATATTTTCTTTACCTATACATGTGAAGTGAAACACTTACTAAGAGTTTGTACTGAACATGCCTATTGAAAAGCATGAAGTTGTGTTAGTCTTTTCTTCTTCTGTGCCACATTCTAGTGAACGGGCGGTTCTGCGTCCCCTATCAGTGCTATTGTGAATAGTAAAATAATGCATACTAAATTGCAGCTGATCAAATACTGGGGTTCTAGGAAAATACACGTGGAACATTTTTGGTCGAGAAACAGAGAAAGTACCTGTAAGTGTATGAGAATGGTGAAGACCCCAGACATAGAAAAAGTAAATCTCACCTAATCTTTATACAAAGGTGAGTAAATGAATCAAATGATTTTAAGAGGAATTTAACCAGAAGCTAAATTTAATTAAAATCTACATGAATAAATAACTGTGACATATTTGTACATTAATCTTACATACCAAATGGTTAAAATGAATGGCTAACACACAGTGACAATTATAGTTACAATGCCCATATATGTTGAATCCTTTTAAACCACTGTATGAGAAAATAATCTTGCAGAAAGAAAATAGTAGCTGTATAGCTATTAGTTTCATAGCCTCTCTTCTACAACATAAAAGGCAGGGAAGAAGAACGATGGTCCAGTGATAAGGGTAGTAGTTTGGGCCTTAGAACAGTGGTACTCAACCAGGGCCCCAGGGTCCCCTGGGAGGATGTGAGCAGGTTTCCCCCTAACACCAGCCCTGGCTTTTATATTCAGAAAACCAGTTATTGTGGCACAGGTGGGCCATAGAGTTTTTATAGCATGTTGGGGGGGACCTCAAAAAGAAAAAGGTTGAGAATCCCTGCCTTATAGGATCAGCTTCAGTTTCTTGCTCTGCCAAAGACTTTTTGTGGTGGACTTGAGCAAGTCACTTAGTCTCTCTCTACCTCAGTTCCCATCTGTAAAATGGGGATGACAGCACTTCCCTATCTCCCTGGGGTGTTGTGAGGCTATAACACATTAAAAATTGTGAGGTACACAGATACATATTCCCTATTATTGGAGTAAGTACCAAAGAGATAGAGTAGCCTGTTATTCCCCCACTCCCCTCCACTATCTTTCTCAGCAGAAAGAGAAGAGCAGTGGCATAGACATAGAATCAAAGAAGCATGCTGACATTTTTTTCATTTCTAAAAATTTATTATTTTTAAATTAATATATTTTTTATTCTGATGTGGCTTCTGGAAGTTGAAAACCCAAATTTTATTCTGCCTTTGGGAACTTGGTAATGTATATACTGTAGCTTTTGAATTAATAATATAGCATCTAAATACAAAATCTGACTGCTTCAAGTGTTGTGGTCCCTTTCATATTCATGATTTGATCTTTAAAGTTTACTTGCATATAATTAGATGAATATATCATGTATGGTATTAAAAGCAACAGTGAAAAGGAAAAATAAGCTGAACAACTAAATAAACATTCTAAAATAAATACCAGCAGTAAATAATAGTAATAATAATAATTTTTCTTTAAAAAAAGCATGAACAAAATAAATAAAAGATAGCTGTGCTGTTTGAATCAAGTCTACCAAAAAGGAACATACTTTTTCTTATGAGACATGCTTTCAGGACAGAAATTCAGTTATGTTTTGTAAGTCATTTAGGGCTGGGATTGTCTATTTTCTGTGTTTTAGAGCACCCAGCAAAATGGGGCCCCAATCTCAAACTGGGCCTTTGGACCCCATCATAAGGGGGAAGGATAGCTCAGTGGTTTGAGTATTGGCCTGCTAAACCCAGGGTTGTGAGTTCAATCCTTGAGAGAGCCACTTAGGGATCTGAGATAAAAATCAGTACTTGGTCCTGCTAGTGAAGGCAGGGGGCGGGACTTGACCTTCCAGTTCTATGAGATAGGTGTATCTCCATATTATAATATAAATATTTACTACTGCTGCTTTGTTGCTATGTTTCAGTTGCAAGAATTTGAAAAAACTTACATCCTAACACCATGTTACTCGAGGTAAAGTATTTTGGAGCATTTCGAGTTTTTTATATGGATTTAAAGGAACAAACTGTAAAACTATATAAAAGTTACTGTTACATTTACCTTCTTAGGGGCCTGTGACCCTGCACTGACCCAGCTGGAGTTAATCGCACACTGTGGGTTGAAGAGGCAATGCCCCCTCGCCCCTGCTGGGCATGCTCAACCTAGAGACAGAATATAAAAGGGAGTGGCCCAGCTCAGTTTGGGCTGGCTGAGCAGGAGAGCGGACACATGCTGCCAGCTCCTGCCAGAGAATTACTGGAGCTACAGACTGTGGCGGCCGAGCCAATGGGATCGATGGTGGAACCCCTGATAACCCCGGAGGACAAGAGTGAGCTGGAAGGCCAACCCCCCATGAGAACTGACAGAGCAGAAACCATGGGTAGGAAGCGACCCAGGGAACATGACTGTTAAAATAGGAAACAGAGTTGAACCATTGACTACTGGTTTCACAGGGTGCTGGGTCGAGACCCGGTGTAGAAGGATGGGCCCGGGACCCCCTACCATACCCCACACCTACTGCAGTGTGTGGGCACTGCTCAAGGACTCTGGCCACTGGGCCACACTGCCCCTGAGAGCAAGAGCAGCCCTGAGGACTCTGGCCACTAGGCCATGCTGCCCTGAGAGCAAAGGCAGCCCCGAGGACTCTGGCCACTAGGTTGCGCTGCTTTGCTTTGTAAACTAGGACAGCAGTACCTAGTCTAGCCACTTGAACCATAACCCCTATTTTGTCCCATGCGACCAGACACCCCATGACGGGATGTATCTATGCCACGACAGTGCCATGTCTGCAGTCCTTACTCACATGAATGACAAATGCTGCAGAAATGTTCCCTAGAATGTCTTCCCTCTCTGATCTTTCAGAACCTGAATCTGCTGACCTGCAGAGCACCGTTTAAGATCTTGTTGAGGCTTCTTGTGATGGTGGTACATAATTCATGGCATGAGGAGTAGAGATGCATTGGAGAATCAGAGGGGGTGACCTGCAATTTATTTGTTCTCTCAAGCTCTACGGAGACTCCTGTCACTAAGCAATTAACATTTTTTTTAAATGAAGGTAATTTCCATTCAAAAATTTCATTAAACTGTTAGGCTGTAATATTTATCAATTACTTAAGGAGGGAAAAATAAGACAATGTTGTATTTATCCTAAAATACAACAATAAAAAGTCTGGAAATTCCCGATTAAAATTAAACTTTAAAAAAATCCAACATTAGAAAGTGTCAATATATAAAATTAAGGAGACTGATTAGCTCTGCCCCGTATCACAAAAAAACTAGAGGAAACAATCCTAGTCGTGATGTGCATTTTCATCGTCACAATGACTCAGAAAAACTGACAAGTGATCTAACTGTACTACCTTCCTAGTGCAGATAGACTAACTGTACACTCAAATTGTGTACTCCAAAATCCCTCAGTTTCATAGGCGAATTAAACCAACAGTCAGATTTAGGGTATTTAAGAGGTCCATAGCTGCAGGGTTAAAATTGTACTTCTCAATGTCCTTCAAAATTGCCATAAAAATGTTTCTAAATTGCATTCAGATAAGATGAGTATGCAGGGTATTAGGTTGACAGGAGCTGGGGGCAGAGTTAAGGTTGTTTCAGTAAGCTTAACTGTGCACGTCTCTGCTTCATTAAGTTTGGGATTTCTTTAAAATGTAAATGTTACCCTAGAATTTCCAGACCGTTGTGTTTTTGAGAAAATTAATATTTGTAAGGACATTTTCCCTTTATATAACACATAGTTATTTACAACCTTAGCTAGCTTAACAAAATATTTTGCCTGGGATTAACCTATTAAATCAAATATTTTTTACAGAATGATATAAACTGCAGAAAAGAGGAGTTTTCAAAGAAAAAGAGGTAGTAGAGGGATAAATCAACTTTCCTTCACTCATCCTGATATATAAAGACACACAAATCTAATAATTTGTACAACAGAAATAGAAAAATCTTTCAGGGAGAAGTCAATTTGAAAGGTAATTTCATCATAAGAATATTTCTCTTACAAGATTTCATGAGAAAAATGTAGCCCTGCAATTATCAATTGCAAAAGGAAACAATTCCAATATTATATTAGAGAGTCTTAATTACATTTTGTAAACTACTATTTGACAGGAACAGAAGACTTCAAATAAACCAGGATAAAGAGTTTTTAAAAAATCGTAGAGGTGTATGTGTGGGCATGGAGATTTCACATATGGCATATAACGGGTGTATAAAAAATTGCATGACCTACTAGTGAAAATGATGCTGTGATGACAATGGAAGGCTATATTTTGGATTTTAACATTGTGATAACACATGCCATATGATTTCTTTTTAAGTGTGTGAAAACCCTCAAACTTAATACCATAGAGACACAGCTATAGACTGTATCATCTAGGCCAGTATCCTGGCTTCAGAAGTGCTCAAGCTGAAGCTGTGCCACATACTGCTGCTGTTGGCTCTCAGCAAGCCATCTGATGAGTTTCTTGACCTCCATTCTTTCTGGTTGGGAAGGTTCACTGTTTTATTGTCCAGCAGAAGGGGGAATTCGATTTGCTGCTGCACTGGGCTTGTCCCCCTGTTTCAGGGTTAGGGCGATACCTGCATTCTCCACCGAGTGTAGTGATCCCTTGCTCTCGAGGGCAGAGGGAGACCACTCTGCCTCGCTACAGGCAAATGGTAAACAATAGTCTATAGGGGGAAGCTCCAGTACTCTGGGCGGGACAGAGCACAGTCTTTAGCTCAGAGCCCTCTGGCTGGGACAGACAGCAATTAACAGTCTATAATGGCAGTCTATAAGGGGGCTCTGACCCTCTGGGTGGGGCATAACACAAACAATCTTTAGCCCGAGCCTTCTGGCTGGAACAGTCTATAGGTGCAGGCTTCTTGGTCTAGGATGAGTTTGCAACCACCCCAGGAGTGGGATGGCAGCTGTGGGGGAAGGGCAGGGAGACCCAGGCCCACCCTACTCCAC